ATGAAAAATATTGCCTGCCATATTAGTAAACAAAGGATGTTGCAGCCACCAAGCCATCACATTGCAGCTGCCAGCAGGTGAGCCCTGATGGAACTGTGGTTGGAGATAGGATTCCTGCCATCAAGCCCTCAGCCACTGCATTCACTCCCAACGGTGCCCCCTGAGAAGACTCAGGATGGGAAAGCACAGGACACTGAGCCTAGATAGCTGGGGTGCATATCAAAAGAATGATTTCAATGAGCCCAGACTTTTGCATCTTCCCATACATGGAAAAGCGCTCATTCCTTGAGATACCTGTTTTTTTTTTTTTTTTCCCCAGTTAACAGTGATCTTTTGATATTCCAACTACCTGGTCTTCTGTATATCCTGGCTCCTCCCTTACCTCTTCGGAGGAGTCCCTTAGAGCCATCTGAGAGGCTGTCTCCGGAGCTTGAAGTCCTCAGAAAGTCCGCCTAATAAAAACATCATTCTCACCTTTTAGGTTGTGCATTTTCTCTAGTTGACAGAATCTAGTTACATATACTCTTACTTTAGCAATTAACTTGCTAAGTGACCTTGGACAAATCATTAGATGCCTAGAATGGAGGTGATAATAGCTTTTTTACTTTTCTGGGGGATATTAAGACTTGAAGAAAACTGATCTGAAGGTTGGTGACTAAACAGTACCCTCACTGTGCAAATATAAGGTGATGTTAAATAATAATGATGCAGGGTAGTAGTAGGGACTTTATGGGAAAGTTCCTTCACTTCTGAGTTTCAGTTTCCCACTGGTACAATGAAGATATCGCATACCTTACAGGGTTGTTGTGAGGATTAGAGATGGTGTATGTCAAGCCCTAGCATAACGCCAGACACGTGGTAGGAATCCAGAAAATATTAACTATTATTAATAATCTGACCATCTGGCTTGATACTCTCAGTCACATTTGGCAGGACAACAAGCAAACAAGCAACGCTTACATACAATGCAAACCACAATCACCACCACCAACCACCCAACCAGCGTAGTCCTCCAAAGTCCCCTGAAGGTGACCATTGGCTCCCAAATGCACTTGAAGCCTGCCACATGCTGTAGCAAAATGAAAGTGCAGCCAGATGGAACCCTGTTCCTCCTCTGAGACTGGGAGTGCTTTCAGCGAAGGATGATGGCTCAGTGCAAAGACTCACTCAGAAATAGCTATGACTACCAAGTGACAGGAGTGAGCCAAATGAGATGGTGATAGCAGAGAAGGGGGCGGACAGCTGAGGGCAGCTGGGAGGCAACGTGTACTTGCTGACTCTTTGATCTTACTCTGCTACTGAATCACTTTATCCCTCCTTTTCTCCACCGGAGAGGCTTTGAGACAATCGGGGTTGCCCACCAACTCCTGATGACATATGGACGTCCCTCTTGCTTGTTTGGTGCCAGGAGTTCTTATTGGCTGCTAAGTGCGGAGGTGGCCCATTGCACTCCAGAGGCTACTGTGTAGACCTCCTGGTGCTGCTGCTCTCAGAATATGTAAGGGCTTCACGTGCCAGAGGAGGGAGACACAAGGCAGATTTCTTATCCTTTTGTTGAAGCTGCTGAACTGACTTGTTTTGGTTCCGATTTCCATGAGTCAGCTTGGTCTTTTTTACCACTTTTCCAAGCAACTTTGTGCCTCAAGGGTATTATTCATTCAACAGATATTTATCAAGCCCGACTATGTGCCTGGCATTATTTTAGGTTGTGAACAAGACAGATGAGCTCCTTGCCCTTGTGGAGTTTACACTGTGGTGGGGAGAGACAAAATTTATGTACCAGTAAACAAGTTAATTTAAGATAGTGGTAAATTTACTGAATTCATAGAAAAAAATATAATAGAATGATAGGAGGTAGGGGGTGGCTGTTTATGTCATCTGAGAAAGGGACACTGGGGCTGAGAACTGAATGATGAGAAGACTGCCTTGCTGTTTGAGGTCAGGTCCCAATCAGAGGGACCTGCAAGGCCTAGCTTCTGAAATGGCATATTTGAGGATGAGAAAGTTAGCCGGGGAGACCTGGGCCACAGAGAATAAGGGGGAGAGTGTCGCACATGAAGTTAGAAAGTAGTTCACAAAGTGGAGCCCCACGGATTACATTTAGTTCACATGGTGCTTTGAGATTTCACCGAAAACAAAAACAATACTGACTTGCAGTTTCTCTTGAAAACTGAAAAAAAACTTGGCCAGGCCAGGCCACTATTCCTGAATGATAACATTTGATTTCAACATAGAGCAGTTATGCTTTTCCTGTCTCCTCCCATCCTTCTTTAATGGGGCTCTTGGTCAGCAGTTCATAAGTAGGAGGTATTTGAATTAGTAACCACAGAGCACCCTGTAGGCTTGATAGGCCCTAGATTCTTTTTTTCTCCAAGTATGATGGATGGAAGCATGTGATGAAGGTTTTTAAGTGACAGAGTGACGATCTAAATTTTTAAAATATCACTCTGACTACTCTGTTAATAACAGACTGTGGCTAGGATGGGGGAGGCAACAATTAATGCAAGAGATATTGGTGGCTAGGACCAGTGGCGATAGAAAGAAGTAGACAGATTCTGGGCATATTTTAGAGGTAGAGTTGCCAGGACTTAACTCATGCATTAGATTTGGATAAGAAAAGGGAATGAAGAATGCCTCCCAGGAGAAAGGTCAAGGCTAGGGATATAAATTGGTAGTCATCAGTGTATGGGTGATATTTAAACCTATGGAAATGAAAGAAGTCACTAAGGGAGGAAATATAGATAGAAAACAGAGTGCAGAGTTACAGGATTTTTTTTTTTCCTGTTCAAATTTAAAGCTTTGAAATTCCTGGTATGATACAGGCTACTAGATTCTTAGCATTAAAAAGCAATCTAAGGTCATCTTCGTCTATCTAGCCACCTTTCCTACCCATGTACGTATTTACTGAAATCTCCTTACAAAACATCTAACCAAGTAGCTAGCCAAGTGGCGCATCATTAACAGGAAACATACTATTTCCATTAAGACCTTCCATTCTCGGTTCATTAGAAAGTGGTTTTTCCTCATATCAAACTTTTAGGCAGGTTAAGTATATATATCTCTCCAAAAAGGGACAGTGTTGAGAGTGAAAGGGGGCATTATTCATAACTACACCAAGACAACTGGGACTATCCCGGGCAAGCCTTGCAAGTAAAAGTAACAGTACGTTGGCCATCTTTGTCTCCAGACAGTCAACTGAATGACTTTAAAAATCTTTAAAAGTGATAAACCTTTAGCCAGACTCATCAAAAAAAAAGGGAGAGGGCCCAAATTAATAAAATTGGAAATGAAAAAGGAGAAGTTATGACACCAGAGAAATACAAGGGATCTTAAGAGGCTATGAGCAACTAAACACCAACAAAAAGAACAACCTAGAGGAAATGGACAATTTCTTAGAAAGGTACAATTTACCAAGACTGAACCAGGAAGCAATAGAAAACATGAACAGACCAATTACCAGTATTGAAATCGAATCATTAATTTAAAAACTCCCAACAAACAAAAGTCCAGGACCAGATGGCTTCACAGGTGAATTCTACCAAACATTTAGAGAAGAGATACACCTATCTTAATGACACTATTCCAAAAAATTGCAGAGGAAGGAACACTTGGGAATTCAATCTATAAGGCCACCATCACCCTGATACCAAAGCCAAACAAAGACATCACAAAAAAAAGAAAATTACAGGCCAATATCACTTATGTCTATAGATGTGAAAACCCTCAACAAAATACTAGCAAACTGATTCTTAACAATGCATTAAAAGGCACAGACACACACACACACACACACACACACACACAAAGGCATACACCATGATCAAGTGGTGTTATCCCAGGGATGCAAGGATTTTTTAATATCTGCAAATCAATGTGATATACCACATTAACAAATTGAGGAATAAAAACCATATGATCATCTCAATAGATGCAGAAAAAGCTTTTTGATAAAATTCAACATCCATTTATAATAAAAACTCTCCAGAAAGTGGGCATAGAGGGAACATACCTCAACATAATAAAGGCCATATATGACAAACCCACTGCTAACATCACACTCAATGGTGAAAAGCTGAAAGCTAGACAGGGTGTGGAGAAAAAGGAACCCTCCTACACCGTTGGTGGGAATGCAAATTGGTGCAGCCACTATGGAGGACAGTATGGAGCTTCCTTAAAAAACTAAAAATAGACTTAACATATGATCCAGCAATCCCAGCCCTGGGCATATATCCAGAGAAACTATTAATACAGAAAGACATGTGCACCCTCAATGTTCACAGCAGCATTATTTACAATAGCCAAGTCACGGAAACAACCTAAATGTCCATCAACAGATGAATGGATAAAGATGGATAAAAAGAATGAGATAATGCCATTTCCAGCAACATGGGTGGACCTAGAGATTATCATACTAGGCGAAGTAAGTCAGAGAAAGATAAATATCATATTATGTCACTTATATTTGGAATCTAAAAAAAAAAACAAAACTTTGTTTACAAACCAGAAATAGACTCACAGACGTAGGTAAAAAACTGTGATTACTGGAGAGGAAAGGGAGGGAGGGACAGATTCAGAGTTTGAGATTAACAGATACACATTACTATATATAAAATAGGTAACAAGGAACTACTGTATAGCACAGGGAACGATATTCAGTTTCTTGTAATGAGTTATGAAAGAATCTGAAAAAATATATATATATACACGTATGTATATGTGTAACTGAATCGCTTTGCTGTACATCAGAAACTACCATTGTAAATTGACTAATTTCAATAAAAAATGAGAATAAAATAAAATCAAATCTTTAAAAGGTGAGACTTCACTTGTCCCATGGCAAAATTAAGGATCTGGAGTTGAAAGAAATCTAAAAAAAAAAAAATCATCTACTCTAATTCCCTCATTTTACAATGGGAATTAAGGGGCATTAATTAGCCTAAGACCAAGTTAGCAAGTTAGTAGCATGGGGCAGGGTTAGAACCAGATACTACTAGTAGAAATACTTTTATTACTTTATTTAGAAACTTCAGATTATAAACCCTTTTCACATGCATGTATCATTACACTCTCACCACACCCTGTGAGGTATCATCATTTTATAGAAGAACAAATTAAGTTTCAGAGGCAACTTGCCCAAGATCACCAGACTTCAACAACTAGAGTGGGAATTGAACCTGACTTCTGTTTTCTCTCGCCAATTTCCTTGTTCTTTCCACTACTCCATACTTATCTAGTGAGAGTTACATTAAAGGTTTTAGGACTAAATTATATACTCTTTCCCCTGCAATTTTAATTCCATAGCATCTTATTTTGTTCCCTGGTATTTAAAAAGTAGTCATTACTTTCATCATTAAATGAAATATATGTGAAGGCATTTTGTAAATTGTAAGGCACTGGACAAATGGACATTTAAAGGCTAGTTAGGAAATCAGCATTTTTTTTTCCTACAAGTGAGGGGAACTGTACTTAAAAGGTAAGTGAAATGGGTGAGAAAACTACCTTTGTAGTATTTACAATAATTCTAATACACAGGCATACCTCATTTTATTGTAGTTTTTTTTTTTAACAAATTGAAGGTTTGTGGGAACCCTGTGTTGAGCAAGTCTATTGGAGCCATTTTTTCCAACAGCATTTGCTTACTTTGTATCTGTGTCACATTTTGGAAATTTTCACAATATTTCAAACTATTCCCTTATTATATGTTATGGTGATCTATGATTAGTGATCTTTGATGTTACTATGACTGTTATATAGTTAGCAGTTGCTAACAATAATTTTAAAATTAAGCTACGTACATTTTTTCCAAAACATAATGCTATTGCACACTTAACAGACTACAGTATAGTGTAAACATAACTTTCCTATGCACTGGAAAACCAAAAAGTTTGCATGGCTTACTTTATTGAGATATTTGCTTTATTGCGGTGGTCTGGAACAGAACCTGCAATATCTGTGACGTATGCCTGTAAATGTTGGCTGAATTAGGGAGTTCTCTAAAGAGAGAACAAATGGCAGGAAGAAATCCTTGGTGGTATTACTCTAATACCAAAACTTATTTCACCCAGTTCTAAGAGGTATAAAGGCTATCTCCTAAGTATGGAGGATTAGGAAGGATCCAGCAACCCCTGAAGCTGTCCACATCGATCTCAGGTCCAACAAAGATTCATCTGATTTTGGCGAGGGCCCCATCCACTCATGCTCTGAGATACAGAGCACTGGGAGATTTTGAAAGCTTTTGGTCCTCCTAAAAAGCCAATGGGTTTTTAATATGCCTGGTACTCCTTAAGCTCTTTAACTGTGTTACAATTAAGGACTCAACAACCTCAAGGATACTCAGTTAACTTAGTGAAGGTTCCAACTCCTTAGAGCATGGCATTCAAGGCTCTCTACAATGGTTTGTAACCACCTTTTCAACTGTAACTCCCACTGTTGTCAGGAACAAACACTCTGCTCTCGTTAAATTGGGCTGCTCACTACCTCCTGAGCATGTTTTGTTTTTCCATCTGAATACCTTTCTCTTTAAACCTGCACTGTCCTTTATGGGCCCACCTTTCAAGTCTACATTTGTACTTTCTCACATCCTGAAATAATAAAATCATAAATGATAGAAAACTCTTCAGTGGAGGTTCACACATTTGATGCAGACATGCCCTTTACATTATCAAACTGAACATTATCATCTGGACAGCTCAAGAAAGCAAAGATTTTCTGCCAAAGGCTGCAGGGTAACTGACGTGCTCCACAAGTGTTAGATAACTTCTTTTAGGCACCCACACTAGAAAAACCCAAAGCCCCTGAGTTCCATCTACCTCTGTTTTTATTCACTTCTAGTCACTAGAATGTTAGCTCTTCTTAAGAAATTCTTTCAATTCTATTACTTTCCTCTCAATATATACCTAATTAAAGTCTCAGTCGCCTTACTTTTAAAATCTAGTTTCTAAGTAGTCTCCCAGCTTCCTTCCCCCTACCCATATTCATTCCATTCTGTACACTGCAATTAAAATAATCTCCCGTAATATTTTTTGCAGATATAATCCTCTGCTCAAATTTTACCCACATTGCCTACAGGAAGAATTCTTTGATCCAACATTCAAGGATTTTTCATATCTTATCCCTGGACTCAACACCTGGGCTTTAGAAAAAAACTAGGTAAGCATTTAGAACTCTGCCTGGCCAATATTTTAAGAAAGACTTAGCTATTATCAATGCTCACTTTTATTTGAATGTGCTGTGTGCATTTCTATCCCTGGGACCCTGCTAATTCCCTTTTCCTATTTGAATACCTCTATCTCCAAAAGGAGAAGCAGTGAATTAAACTATCCATGACCAGCACAAGCTAATTGTTACTGCTGAGAAACAACTTCATACCTCCTTCCTACAACTGATAGAACCTGTTAACTCTGAACCCTAATTTATCACAATATGCAATAATAAAATTTAAGACTAGATGGAATATAAATAAAAGGTAACACTTCTTTTATGCAATTGGAACTTAAAACTTATGGAATGTGTCATTTAAAGAAAAAAACAAAGCCTGAAAAAAATGTAAATGGGATCTGGATTTTGGGCAGTAGTGCTTCAACTTTGCCCTTATGAGAATAACCTGGGAAGCTTCCAAAACTAATACAGATGTGTGAGCCTCACTCCAGATTTACTGAATCTCTCCAATGGTAGGGATCGGGCACATAAAATTTTTATAGTTTCACAGGTGATTCATGTGCACTTTTTAGAAAGCTTTGTATGAGATCTTCTTGTGCACCTACATCTGATAATCACTGGCTTCATCATGAGAAACTTTGGGTTAAGAAGTTGGTCATATTTGGCATGTATTTTTCACCATGTTCTCCTGGAGCACGGTCTTGAAACAGAAAACTCAGAGAACTGATTAGCCCTGAACGATTTACATGTTTATGAGTAGTGTTCTTAAAAGCAAAATAACCCTCCCAACCCAAACCCTCTTGAGACTGACTTAGAAAGAAAAAAGCCATACACATCCACATGCCACACTTGGTTTTCATCTAAAAGCTCGTCCGTTGGTCTGACTTCTATGAACTATATAAATTTCAAAACAGAATTCTTAAGCAAATATATATTTAACTATGTACAATATTTACAGCTGATAGATTTTACAACTCAAAACTTCAGATCTGTAAGGGTGTGAAAAAGTTAGCATTTTAGTATATATAATACTTCAAAAACATCTTTACCTCAAAAATATTTTACACCAATTTTCCAAAGCCTTATCTTCACAGGCTCGTTGTATCTCAACAACCCCGTTAGGTTACCAAATTTCTAGGCGTGGAGTAAACGATATCGCACTGAGAGACGGCACTTTTTACAGTCGTAGAGGGTGTAGAAATCTCGGGTCTTTGAAACTTATAATAAAGCTCCTTTCACTCTCCAATCCTGAGACAACAAATCCTGTAGTTCTCCCTCATCGTCGCTGTCAACATTCTCCTCTTCCTTTTTCTGAAGTTCTTTTATAGTCAGGACCTCTTTAAGCTTATTTTTTATTTCATCCTGGCGATTCCGCAGCTTTTCCACCCGACGGTAACACTCTATCTGCTCGTCGATCTCCCCAATCTGCCGGTCCAACCGTCCCTCCTCATCCTCTTCAGCAACTATGGCTTCGGAAATAGTGTTGACCTGTCTCATGGCTTTTTGAAATTCGTCCCACTCTTTGTCCATCTGATCCTTGGGAGCATCAACCTTTCGTACCCTCGCATCTACCTCAGGGTCGTCAAAAAAGCCTTCCGGTAACGCTTCCGCGGTGTTTTCTCTCCTTTCCACTACTTTTTCATGTATTTCTGCTTTCTCAATTGACCCTGAATGAGGAATTAAAGGGGCCTTGGGAGGATTTGTATCCGAGAAATCGCTTGGCAGCCTACTACTACCACTTGCCTCCCGCGGGGAGGAAAGTGAGTGCACGTTGGACTGCTGCTTACAGGCTTCCCCCCTCTTCTCTTCTCCTCCTCCTGCTTCCTCCTCCTCCTCCTCCTCCTCTTCATAATCAGGGAGCAAACCGAGTCCCGAAGCCTTACTGAGGGTCGCTCTAGTGGAGTCCTTTCCTGCTTTGTTAAAGTTTGTGGCCAAAGCGGAAGAGGAGGGCTGTACCTGAGGCACCGGAGAGGCCTTCGCTCTTTTGGCATCTTGGCTCTCTGCGTCCGGCCCCTTCCTCTTGGCGGACTGAGGCACTGCACTGGTGGATGGACCCTGGGTGGCTTCCTTCGCGCCTTTCAGCTCAGCCACTTTCTCCCGGTGCTGCTTTCCCAGGACGTGAGTCTGCCACAGGAGCTCGCTCTTAACCGGCGTGTTACACAGGGCACAACTTAGCTGCCCCAAACGGTTGTACTTCGCGAATGGAGATTCTATCCGTTTCCGGTTGGTGCTCAGACGCTGCTTCTCCTTCATCAACCGCCGCAGTTCGTCCTGATTAACCACTCGCTTCCCCGCCGAAGGCCGGGCAGAAGCAGGAGACGCCATCTTTGCGACCCAACCTGAAGCGATCTGGCTTCCGTCCCGGCGATGCCGGATGTCGTCACTGCCTATCCGGGTGCTGATTGGCTGAGGCTCAGGCGTGTGGACTGAGGCGCCCGGGTTTCTCTTAGAATCGCCGCCGAGGTAGCTTTTGGCGGCGCAGTCGCATTTCTAACCGCCTGGCCATGGCTGCGATAAAGGCCCTAAACTCCAAGGCTGAGGTGGCGCGGGCGCAGGCAGCCTTGGCCGTTAATATATGCGCCGCCCGAGGGCTGCAGGATGTGTTGCGGACCAACTTGGGTCCTAAGGGCACCATGAAAATGTGAGACGGCGGTTGGAGCGGCGTTTAGGCCTTCGGGCGTTTGTTGGGTGTTGGGGCGCGCTTTCAGGCGGACGTTCCGCAGAGATTGGAGCTTTGTGGACGCACCTGTGGGCCTGCTTTCCCTCGTTCTCATTCCTCCCATGAGGTCATCTTTAGCCTGGTGGGGGAGGAGGAGAAATGCTCCCTGAGGAAAGGGCCCTCGAGTGAAGCTGTGACCGTCTCCTGTCTACCAGCCAGCTTCTTAGAAAGGTTCACATGCAATTAGAAAATCAGATCATTCAGTGTCTCATTTGAAACATAAACCATGTAACTCGCCTGCTTTTTTAAGAGTTTGGGTTTTGTTGTAGTGAAGAGGGCGCGGGCTTTGGGTTCAAATCCAGATTCTTGTAGCTATGAGTCTTTAGGCAAATTGAGCGCTTTCTGCCTACAGTTCGTCCTATCTATCATCCTTTCAGCGTATATTTATTTAAGACCATTGTTTTCTTTAGAAGAGAATGAGGGAAAGACTTGTGAGGGCAAAAAGGTGTAAGAAGAGAGGTGTAGTCTTAGAAAAGTAAGGAAAATAGTTAATATAACAGTAAAAGAGGGCACTTATATACTAACTGGGATTCTGGGAACACAGAGATGACCAAGAGAGTTTCTCAAGGAGTTATGATAGAGATGGATGTACTAATTGTGTGTGTGTGTGTGTGTGTGTTTGTGTATGTGTGCATGATTATACTGAGGAAAAAGACTACGGATGGCAGAGTGGAGAAGGAAAACTTCAAATTACAGGATTTTGAGGGAGGGAGGGAGGGAGGGTATAGCTCAGTGGTAGAGTGTGTGCCTAGAATGCACAAGATCTTGGATTCAATCCCCAGTACCTCTTAAAAAAGGTAAATAAATAAATAAGAAACCTAACCCCCACCCCAAAACACCAGGATTTCTCATCAGAGTCTTGAAAGATGAGTTAGAGTTCATCAGTTGGAGAAGGGAGTAGAGTCCTCGATAGAGTAACTTCAGGGAACAAGAAAGCCCAACGGTGTAAATCTTAACAGAAACAAAAACAGTGTATTAAGGGAACCACAAGATTTGGCTAGAAGAGGCAGGAAAAAAAGGACCTCACCCAGATTGGGAAAGGTGTAAACTATGTCATTGCTAAATAGTTTGGATTTTACCTTGAAGGTGATGGAGAACATGAAAATCATTGAAGGATTTTTTATTGGGAAACTGACCGAATCACATTGCCTTTTAGAAAGATAAATGCAGTGTAGAGGGTAGATTCAAAGTCAGAGATATTAGGATGCTAAGTAGTCCAGACTAGAGATGATGACTGGAAATGGAGAGGAGTGGGTAGATTCAAGAGACATTTACGTTGTAGAATTGAGAGAACTTGATAATCTAATAAATGTGAGGGCTGAGGGGGCAAAAAAAACTTAGTTGAGTGAATGGTAACATTTCACGAAAATAAGAAACCTGAAGAAAGTTCACACATTTGTGGCATTTAGATTTCCATTTACTCTTCCAAGTACCAAACCACTGTTCATAACTCGTCAACTACTCTTATCCTTAAACTTCTATGTGTTCCCATTTGGGATGAAATCACCATAGCTGTCCATCTGGGGGAAAATGATTCTGTGGGTTGCAAATGGTGGTAATTACCAAGGTATCCCCCACGGTATATTGGAAATTTTCCACATCCAGTTACTTATATTAAGGATAGTAGAGTGGCAAGCTCTGGGAGAGTATTGCTTGGCTCTTGCCATGTAAAGTTAATAACCACTGTTTTCTGAACAGGCTCGTTACCGGTGCAGGAGACATCAAACTCACCAAAGATGGCAATGTGCTGCTCCATGAGATGGTGAGCTGATGCTGCTGACTTAATAAACCTTAATAAGCTTTCATTGAGAACATAGAATTTGTATATCTTTAAATGAAGGCTGTCACCTAAATACTGTAGTCATTGTTGGATTAAACCTTAGGGGAAAAAAACAGTCTTCTGGCTCTTTTCAAATCTTTGTATAGTACAAATAATAAGTATCCCTAAGCTAGGAATACTTTGAAATTAGTTACATCTTTTAAAGGCACTGCATTATGTTCTTGGTAATCATGGGGAAAAAATCCTTTGCAATTTTAGTAAATATATTCATCTTCAAGATTGAAGGATTTAATCTTATTTTGGAAATGTCATTGCATTTTGAAACAAAGACTCATAAAATATTCAAACCTCATTAGTTCTCAGTTTTTAAGTTTTGGTTTTGACATTTACTACATAAGATAATACAAAACTTGTGAACTTATAGAATGAAGCTTATTTCGTCTCTTAATTTTACTGTTGACCCTTATGTTATCTTGTTTTAGGTGGATTTTTTTGTTATCTCATTCTCTCTCTTTTTTAACCTGTTGCTTACTTTTTCCAGCAAATTCAACACCCAACAGCTTCCTTGATAGCAAAAGTAGCAACAGCCCAGGATGACATAACAGGAGATGGTACTACTTCAAATGTTCTGATTATCGGAGAGTTACTAAAACAAGCTGATCTTTACATTTCTGAGGTATTAGAATTTCATAGAATTCACATTCATGTGGTACTTTATTTTGAATAGAAAGTTATTTATTTATTTTGCTAGTAAAATGGTTTAATTTTAGGGGGCAAAAGTCAATTTTTATCAAGATATTTTTGGACAATTGTAAATGGAAGTAATAATGAACTTTTTTTTTGCCAAAATAATAACTTTTATTGAAACTATCTACTTTTAAAAGTGAAATATTTGAGATATATAAAAAGTTTAAAAATTAGCCATATACTCATGATTGATGGCCTAGAAGAGAAAACTATATATAGCCAGGCTTCTCTAGTTTCTGAAATCATTACACACATTTCTACGTCTGTACCTTTGTTTAATCTGTATTCTTTTCTTGGCATTACCTCTCTGTCTTCTCTAATTGAGTAGTTGAACTTTTGCTTTCTTTCCAGGACCATTTTATAAAGCATAATCCGGTCAAAGTGCTAAAATTATTACTTCTTTGTGTTTCATTAAGTATTACGAATTGTCTATTAATTCAGTACCTGCAACTTGTCTCAGGATGCTTTTGGTTGTAAGTGGTAGAAACTTGACTAAAAGTCACTTAAACAATAAAAAAAAGAAAATCTCCCATAACAGAACATAGAGAGATAAAGCAGGCCTCTAGGGTTGGTTGAGTAAGAAATTCTATCAGTCATAAAGTACTCAGGTCCTTTCTGTCTCTTAGTTCTTCCAATTAATAATGCTGTCTCCTCATGGGCTTATTTCCAACCTGAATGAAAGACTGTCAGAAGAAATCAGGGCTTCCTGCTTCCCTTAATAACACTCAGCAGAAGAGGGCAAGAGAAAACCATTTATCCAGCCATGGATTTTAAGTCCTTCCTTTAAATGATCGGGCCAACTTTGGTCTTATGTCCATCCCAGACCAATGACAGGTTTTAGGGGAATTGACTTGATTTAATCAGGACCTCACCCCTTGAGCTCAGGATAGAGTCTGCTTCCTCTGAAGCACTGAGGAAGAGAGATACCTAAACAAAATTTGGGTTGGGCTAGGAAGAAAGAAGTTAGGGAAGGGGGAGATGCTGACAAACTTTGACATAGTTATAAAACTGTGTAGCAGGGCAGTGATAGACTGAGGCACAGGATAGGATAGAAACACTAGCCTGAAGTAGTCAGGAAGACTTTCTGGAGGAAATAAAGCCTGGGCTAAATCTTTAGGATGAGAGCAAGTGAGCTTGATGAAAGAGTGAAGGGTAAGGAGAATGGCACCCAGGTAGAAGAAACAACATGAGCAAAGGCACAGAGAAGAGAAGCAACCATGTATGTGTGTAGAGCTGTAAGCAGTTTGGTGTTGGAGTTTAAAGTGATTTGGACAGTAGTGAGTAGGTATATAATATACTAACCAAGAAGAAGAATACTCATGTTAACATATTAATGATTGATATGGTCAGATTGGTATTTTAAATATTTTGGGGAAAGTTTTAAGGGAGTCAAGATGGAAGGCTTTTATAGTGGTCTGGGTGACAAACTGAGGTCCTAGGCTGAGAAAGTGTTTTGCAGATGATTGATAACATAGGCTCTGACATCAGGTTTGTGGTTTAAATACTAGCCTAGTGACTTAAGTCTTTAAGCCTCAGTTTTCTCATCTGTGAAACAGGAATAATAACAACAACCACTTAATAGTGTTGAGAGGACTAAAATAATACACATAAAGCCCTTAGAATAGTGCCTGGCACAAATGCTCAATAAATGTCAACTTTGTGTTTTAAGTTGTATCGTGTATTTTTTTTATTGAGTTATAGTCAGTTTACAATGTTGTGTCAATTTCCAGCGTAGAGCACAATTTTTTTAGTTATATGTGAACATAACATATATTTATTGTCACGTTCTTTTTTGCTGTGAGCTACCACCAGATCTTGTATATATTTCCATGTGCTATGCAGTATAATCTTGTTTAACTGTTCTACATATGCCCGTAAGTATCTACAAATTTCGAACTCCCAATCTGTCCCTTCCCACCCTCCTCCCTCCTGGCAACCACAAATTTGTATTCTATATCTATGAGTGTGTTTCTGTTTTGTATTTATGTTGTTTTGTTTTGTTTTTTTTAGATTCCACATATGAGCGACCTCATATGATATTTTTCTTTCTCTTCCTGGCTTACTTCACTTAGAATGACATTCTCCAGGGACATCCATGTTGCTGCAAATGGCATTATGTTGTCGTTTTTTTATGGCTGAATAGTATTCAATAAATACCAACTTTTTAAAAGTTATTATAGGGCTAATGTAAAGGAATGTAGGAAGGGAATAAATTAGACCTAGTTCCAGCTTTAAATAAGTTTATGTATTATTTTTCAGAATAAACAATGGTGCTTTTTCAAAAAATTATTTTGTTATAATGTCAGACCTACAGAAAAGTTGCAAGAATATTCCAAAGAATAATATTTCTCAGTTATAAATATGTAAATATATATATTTGTATATGTAGTGTGTGTGTGTGTGTGTATGTATGTATATATATATATAGTAATGTACTTTTTTTTCTAGTGGCATAAGAAAAAGTTGCAGAAACAATA